GCCGGCCCGCACCGGGTATTTTGGCCTACATCACAACGCAGGACCGCCTCAACCCACTACTACCATTTTTCGACATAGAAACAATCAAGGATCAAGTAAGCACATAATACAGGCAAACAACAATCATACAACTCACTACCGCCTACTAGTCCTCACACCGCACACTCTCTCGCTACCAACTAACCTCCACGAAGTGCGTAACCATAAGTAACCAGGGGTGAGATAGCCACCCGAACAGATGATCCTACTCTAGAGCCACATCCAAACAAGGAAAAGGCAAGAAAGCCTAGATCAAGAGTTCTCAGACTATCCTACATGACTACATACAGCCCCTAAGGCACTCCACTAGATGATAACCAGCAAGAATAGGTAGACATACAGATCTACAGACTACTACCGCATAGCAACATCCTAAATAGCAGGATATAGATCTAATAGATCACTACAGCATAGCAACATACCAACTACCAGGATACTGATCTAATAGGTCACTACAGCATAGCAACATACTAAATACCAACAATCTAAGGAATGTATAACCGTATGTACTCAGAGGTGATATAGACACCCGGACAGATGATCCTACTCTCGAGCCACATCCAAAAATAGGAAAAGGCAAGAAAGCCTAGATCAAGAGTCCTTGGTCTATCCTACATGACTATATACAATCCCTATGGCATCCTTCTACTAAAGATAACCAAAACTAGTGGGTGGGCATTAGTGCCTTCGACCCATGGGTATAATGAGGCAAAACTCACCTGAAATGAAGAAACCTGAGAACATTGTGACACACTCCCTGCTAAACCGCTTGCTCCAGCAGATCCACTAACATCAGGACCATATAAAATCTTAATCACCAATCAAGCTCAAGTTTGACCTAAAGTCAAACTTTGTCAAAAAGTCAACGGTCAACGGAGTCAACAAAAGTCAAAGTCCAAGGCTGGTTGAGTACGTCCTGTATACTCAACTTACGCCCCACATACATGAGATGGCTTAGTACGCCCAATGTACGAAAATTACGCCCATCGTACTCGAGTTGGTTCCATCCTTTCCATTAAGCACTTAATCCCTTAAGGTCTTTTCACCCAAACTCAGATCTAGCCTCAAAACATTGTCTTAAGTCATAAAGTTTCCACCTTTAAGACTTTCCATGGCTAGGGAAGGTCCAAAAGCTAAAACCCTAACTTATTAATCCATTAAGACATTACAACTCATGCATGGAAGGTATAGAAGGACCAAGATCACATTTTTATGGTTCCTAATAGCTCCATAATGGATAAAGTTTCCAACTTTATCCATTATAATGGTCCCAACAAACAAGATCTAGTCTTTAAGTCACAAAGGGACGAAAAGTGCATCTTTTTCAACTTAATCCATTAAGTCCAAGTCTCCAACCTTCACATCTGAATCAATATGATGTTTAGATCCAACTTTATCCATAACAAGGTCACAAACTTTCAAGATCTAAAATTTATGCACTTAAAGTGACCAAAAGCTCATAACACCCAAAACTAGATAGATCTAACAATTTCATCATCAAGATTCAAACTTTATACATCTAGAAGAAAGATCAAGGTGAACAAGGTTTGGATCTACAAGATCTAATGCAACCAATGCTTCTTCAATGAGTTCCTTCTTCTCCAAGGTGCACCAATAATACTCCAAAGGACTTAAAAACACCTTCTTTTTGCTCACAAGGCTCAAACTAGGGTTAGGGTTTCAAGAGCGGGTGTTGGAGAGGTGGAAGCTGAGAATGGAATGGGTTTGGGGAAGTTAAGGAGCTTAAATAGGGCTCAAACCATGAAAATAGGGTTTGGGCACTGATCACATATGCTCAGCTTACTCATGGTACGCCCAACGTACTAGGGATGCCCTAGTACGCCCAGCATACGTGGCTAACCCAAAAATCATCATAACTTCAAACAGTCATAACTTCTTCGTTCTAACTCCGTTTTCGACGTTCTTTATATCCATGAGAAGGTGTTGAAGAGCTCTACAATATTACCTAAATATATTGGACTCAAAACTTCTCGAAAAAAAATCCATATTCATGCAAGAACCCGGCCTATGACTTTTCTCTTGTCTACCCTTCGGCTCTAAACATAATTCAAGGATTAAATCTCTCAACCATCATTACCTCCTTCCACAAGGTCTAATATTTACCTCCTTAAGGCCCAAAGCTTTTACACAATCGACTTCTGGACCATGGCCTTGAAACAAGAAACGACAGGAAACAAGATGTTACAGTTATAACTAGACCTGAAAGACGTGTCATGTCGTGTTGGGTTCTTGTCGTGTCAAAACAGTAAACGGGTTGAGAGAGATTGAACTTAACCTGACCTCTTTAATTAACTTATTGTATCGTGTCAACCTGTTTATTTTCATGTCGATTTCGTGTCGGGTTTTGGGTTAGGGCTATACCTTAAAATGTGTCGTGGCATGTGAGGTTAAAACATTAAACATGTTGAAAGAGTATGATTTGGATAGGTGGAAAGGAAATGTAATAGTAAGTTTAGAGAGCAAAATGGAATCAATATGAGTTGGAAGGAAAAGGAGGGATCATGAAGAGGGGGAATGGTTGAGAGGACTGTGTAATTTGGGCCATAACAAAAAAACTGAAAATGAAAGTCTTGACTAAGACATCTAAGTGTATTCCACATTACAAAACGAGTCAACCCAAAAGTTTTCTTTTACGTATTGTTTTGGTTGTTGGTCTTTCTAGTTTATTTAAAACATTCAAAAAACTTACATATAAATGAGTCGTTTTCGAGTCATATTCGGGTTGAAATTCTCAATCCTAACCTTACCCATTTATTTTTCGTGTCATGTCGTGTCACCCGTTTAATTAAACGAGTTGAAATATCTTGCCCAACCCTATTTATTTCGTGTTGATTTCGTGTCATGTTAGTTTTTGCCACCTCTACTTATAACATATTTTAAACTAGCCCAACAAATAAATAACCCTATATTCTAACACATTTTAAAGTGAATAGTGGCAAGAGGATCGAATGCATGAAGATTAGTTGAGTTCGTGAATCCATATGACCTATTCGTGAAAATAATTTGTGACAACGTTTAAATAAAAATAAGGGATTTTTAGTTATTTGTTTGGAAATCTAAATTTGACAAAAACAAGTAAATGATGTAAATAAGTGATATGAATTAGTAAGGATAGGATAATCAACATTGGAATTTCGTCACTTAAACAATTAGTTAACTTGTCATCAAGATTTATGGTGTTGTACTTGTAGATCAATCTAATTTGGCTATATCAACTTAAAAGCTGTAATCACCTAGACTCTTCATAAAAAATCTAATTTGGCTATATCAACTTAAAAGCTGCAACCACCTAGATTCTTCCTAAACAGTATGATAGTTAGAATCACCAAATCGAAAGGAAGAGTCAAAAGCTTTCACTTTTACTTTGGAGAACACAATTTGTTACTAATTGTTTTGAATATCTAATAAGTAATCAAGAAAATAATTTACTATTGTTATTCAAACATGTAAACTCATGAACAAAAAACATAAGAATGATTTAGAAATCCATATGGAAATTGCATTCATAGAGAAGAAACTAAAAGTTCATAAATCTTTCAAAGGAAAACTAAAAGTTCATGGACGACTTCCAATGTTGATTTATAAAAAGCTTAGCCACTCATGGCTAAAATAGAAAAGAAGGAAATTAGTGTACCCAACATCCACAACTTCAACAAGATGATTCAAACCCTTCAAAAACTCTCCCAAAATCGTCTCCACGAATGTCTCAATCTATTATGTCCGAAGATGCAAAAGACCCTCACCTAATGCCCTTAAAATATTTGCAAAAAGTCAAAAGGAACTTGCCATGTAGGACTCACGCAGGCCACGATAGTCTAGGAAAAAATGTGATATGGGGCGTGTTCAGCAAAATTAGCTGGTAGCGGGTAGCTTGTAGCTTGTAGCGTTTTGTTAAACGCTACATGAAGTAGCATTTGGATTTGGAGCGTTTTGTTTAAACTAAACGCTAGAAGCGTGTAGTGCAAAACAAGGTTTTATGTTCAAAACGGAGCGTTTTGTCAAACGCTAGAAGTTAGAAGCTCTCAAACGCTCTTAAACGCTCCGTGCCGAACACGCCCATGGTCTGCGTGAATGGGTCTGGCAGCACGTTGACTTGAATACATATGTCCTTATCACCATGATCTTATTTGTTTCATTTGTCTTCTTTGTCACTCCCATAAAATCACATTTTATAGCCCAAATATCCTCTAAAGTTAGCCCAAACTCTTCAAAAGGCTCCTCCTCATGTATCTTAGCCCACATAAAAATCCAAGTATTCATCTTCTTCCATCATCATCCTCAACCCCAAGCCCAAATAGATTATTGCCAAGTCCACATAAATTCATCAAATCTCCCCATTGGTTTTCCACTCTGCCGAGTCTTCTAAAAATCTCCCAATTGGTTTTTCACTCCTCTTTGTTCTTCTTACTTGGTTCCTAGAAAACTTTAATGCTATTGATATTTGTCCTGATGCTTAGGATTACTTTCTTACAAATATAAAATTAAAAAAAAAAGAGAGAGAGAGAGAGAGAGAGAGAGAGAGAGAGAGAGAGAACAAACAAGATTTACCTGTTTACACGATTAGGGCAATTGTCTTTATAACATGCCTACATATTTAACCAAATCTTCCAAGGTTTATACCATATCAACAACCTTTTTACATATTTAGATTGCTTATTGTTTATGAAATAAATGCTACACCTACCGACTTTTATAAGTCGGGGCAATTTATTTTTCAACTTCAATTTCCATAACACTTGTTTTGGTCATAAAAGTTACAATAAGTAAATATATTTTCAAAAATTAAAAATACTAAAATGCTAAATATGAATTATTGAAATTGAAAAATAAAAAGCATAGCAACATTGAATGTCTCTCATGAATTTAGGAATCAAAACATCAGCCCTAGAACCACTATTTGGTTCAACAGTTGGCTCAACTAATAGAAATAAAAAAAAAAAAACCCGATGGCCATATGTTGATGTTAATTAATTTAAAAATCAAAACCTTGAAAGAACACATGGTCATGTTAAGATTATAACTGAAGCAGCATTGAATTGACTCAAGTAGAAGGTGGGATTTGCCAGTTGTTTGGAACTGGTCCATGGTCATATATGACTTCTCTATGACAAGACCACACAAGTTTTATCGCTTCAGGAGTTCCTATTCCCGCACCTCTTGGATCTCCAGCAGGTCCAAACCTAACAACATACCATTTAGTATCATACTTTCAACTTCAAGAAAAAAAAACAATAAATGTCAGGGTTTTTTTTCTACTCACCAATGATTCTGTGGTGCTCCGGTAGTTCTTGCTCTAAGCCCAACATAAGTAGTTCCATTAACCGTATGCCCCAAAATATCCTGAAAATGAGTCGCACTCATCACAAGCTTATAAAAGAAGTCCAAGGCTTTGTTTTGAAAATGCCGATAGTAAAATATACTTTTTAAGTATTTGATTTTGATCACTTCTTTGTATCATTTAAGTAGCGGCAGAGGAGAAAAAAAGGTAAACAAAACACATTGTGAGGTTTTCTTTCTTGTTTCAGAATGCAGAAAGGTGAGAGTCAGATTTTTGGAGAGTGCGGGTGTAACCTTGGGGTGGCTTGAGAGATTAGTCTATGTGATTATAAGTTATAACAATTTATCATAAAGTGAACTTTTTTTCCTTTCGACGGGCCATGGTTTTTCTCCGGTTTTGAAGTTTTTCATGTCTCAATTTTCTTTATTATTTTTCATTATGCAGGTTGTTGGGAATCTTTGAGACCATTTTCTTAACACATAATAAATAAAAGAAATTAATAAAAATACTTGAATAAACAATGGATCATTACAGAGTACAGATGTAACTTTTTTGGGGTAGCTTGAGAGATTAGTCTATATGATTATAAGTTATAACAATTTATCATATAGTTGACTTTTTTTCCTTTATCTAGGTCATGGTTTTTCTCCGGTTTTGAAGTTTTTATGTCTCAAATTTCTTTATTATATTTCATTGGGCAGGTTGTTGGGAATCCTTAGAGACCATTTTCCCAACACATAATAAAAAGAAAAAAAATCGGTCAAAATACCTGAATAAACAACGGATCATTAGAGACCACAGCAGCGGTTAAATGTGCATGCATCTTTTCAAGGGCTTCCAACACCATTGGGATTTGGCTGTCTTTATACTCGGTGATAATCTAAACAACAAAAAGAAAAAGCATTAACTAATATCACTTTTTATAAAACTAATTAATAAAATGTTTTTTTTTTAAATGTATTTTGCTAGCCTACCTGGAATGGGCCAAATATTTCCTTAGTAACAAGCTCATAATGTTCTTTCTTTAGTATTTGTTCAATTGGAACAAAAATAGCTGTTGGTTTTATCGCACCATATATTGAAGGAATCGAATGATTTTCCAATTCTTCACCACCAAATAGTAACTTTGCCCCTGGAATCCTAAGCAAATTGTTCTTGTGGTCCAGCATTGCTTTTGTTGTGAACTGCAGGGATGAAACAGTTAGTTCAGGGGCAAATCCGGAAATAATAATTTAATATTGGAATTTTTCAAAGTGACTTAATTTAATACACACTTAACTGTAAGAACAGGGCCAATAGTCAAATCATCAAGCTTCCTCCTACCAGCAAGAGTGCTTAATTGATGCATGAATGAGGTTTTTCCCCAATTCTGAAAGGAATAGAATCGGGGATTAAATTGTAAAAGATAAAAAATAAAAAATACATAAAAAAAAGTAGAAAATTAAACCTCGTGCACGAATAACAATGATTGTGCTGAGCACTTTTGACCACTACAAGCATACGCATCTTGATCACAAACCCATGAAACATAATCCACCTGTCAATAAGTACAAATTTTAAATATTTAATCCATATTATAATAAATAAATAAAAATTTATAGTTTAATGTGTAAAATAATAAACCTCATGAACATCAGGGCCAAGGATCTTCCAGTCAAATCCTGCATCTTCTAATTTAACTCGACCATTTAAATCATAAGCCAACTTATTTGCTACTCTTGAGCTACCCGTAAAGAGTGTCATTCGTGGATTTGCCTGATAATTGAGTCATAATAGTTATATAATGGAGTATTAATAACCAATTTCCAAAAAATTATAAATTGTTAATGGGATATTTATAGAAAGACCATTATATTTTGGGTAATTTTGTGGTTTAATTTAACCACTTATACTTTATTTTTTCAAATTAATTCATACAAGTTTCAAACGTTATTTCAAATTAACCATTCTGTCAAAATGGTTAATCTGTAAAGTTTTCTGAAAATTTTCCAAATTAACCATTTTGACATGTTATATATATAATATATGATGTAAAGATGACATGTTAAAATGGTTAATTTGGAAAATTTTCTGAAACTTTTATGGTTTGATAGAAAAAACCAAAGTATTAGTGGTTAAACAAAAATATAATGGTTTTTTTTTTTGTAATTAGACCATTGTTAATATTAAAATTTAACAAAAAAGATTGGAAAAACGAACTTCTAAAAGTAGTTTGTTCATTGTTCCTCCATCAGAATTGATGAAGTCAACATCTTCCATAGGCATCCCACAAGCATGGAGTAATCGAAGCATTTGCTCCATTACAATGCATACCTATAAACATGCAAAATATAAAATATGATTATAAAATATTAATTATTTTATACAATTTTATGTGTTATAAAAACTCACTTTGCTATCAACTTTAAGAACAGGCTTGTTTCCCATATAAAGTGCTCCCATTAGCTGGAGTACAGGAATCTCTAGAGGAAAATTAAATGGTGTAATTAACGCCACCTGTGACAACAAATAATACATAATTTTTTACTATTTAATAAATTTAATAATTTAAATATAAAAAATAATATGTAAAAGATGTCTTACAGGGCCATAAGGCCAACGGAAACCATGACTTTGTTGACCAAGATGATTCCCAGGTACTCCAAAAGATCTTGCAAGAAAACGTACCTAACGAACAATTTTAATTTTTTAATGAGAAAAATGTAGTGTTTTTATATTTTTTTAATGTGTAAAAGTACATTAATTATAAATTTTAAGTACCTGATCACTTGAGAAATTCTCAAGAAACTTTGCTGTAACATAAACTTCAGCATAAGCCTGCTGATAACTCTTTGGTGAGACTCTTTGTACTAACTTGGTAAAGAAATCAGAAACCTGAAAGGGTATAAAGGTAAAACATTACAATAAAATATAAAAATAAAATCAGATGTAAAAATGTACATAGCTTTTTTTTCATTTGTTACAAGTTCAATACCTCAGGTGTTGAAAGAAGATGTCCTGCTTTTGCGGATACATCTCCATATAAAAGATATCTATAAATAACATTATATCAGTACCTAAAAAATTATCAATATTTGATGATATGTATAAATTATAAATTAATTAGAAGAAGACCTCTCTGGGGATTTGAATGGGTTATGAAGGCCATGTTTAGGGCATTTAGTTAAGCTTTCTACAAAAGGCTGCATAAGATATTAAAAAAGGATATTAAAAAAGTTTATAAACAAACTTTCAATTTGGAAGAGAGTAAATTGATCTTTAAATAATGCATATACCTTTATTCCACTTTCATCTACTTCTGAAACTTTGATGAATGATTCCCCATTCAGAGGATCCAAAATTGTATTCCAATTCCCATCTTGTATCCATTTCCCCTGAACTGTAAATTATGATAACCCATGATTGTCAAAAAAAAAAAAAAAAAAAAAAAAAATTAACAATTTCAATGATTCTACTAAAATTGAAGTGATTACCCAAACTTTGTACTTCAGCAGGCTGAGAGCCTGATATCTCTTCAGCTTTGACAGTTGCAAATTGCAGTGAATTAATGAACCTGCAACAGACATATCACATACATGTATAATATTTATGATTTATCAATGCAAAAACAGAGACAACTCTTGATTTTACTTTTCAAAATCTTGTAATTTCGAGAATTATGTTTCTCATACATGTTTTTTTTATCATTGAATGAAACTATGAGTATTGTGCATGACCTTTTCGGTAATTGGAATATTTAGAAAACGATTAAACAAAAAAAACGAGGAAGAGGAATGAATCAAATTTCCATTTCGACAGATTTTCAGATCGACACGATTGTCAAACCAAATATGAAAATGCAGCCCAAATAACAACGAGATGATAAAGCACACGAGTATGAACAATAACATGAGATTTCTAAAGCATTAAATCACGATTGTAACACAGAAAAACAGAAAACGATCGATCGATCAGAATCGTAAGTTCGTAGACGTGTGAATGAAAAGAAGATGATCGAATTAATTATTGGAAATGGAAGTAGAAAGATTACCTTGAGAATCTTAAGGAATGAGGAGCATTGTTCCTTATTTGATTGCAGAATCGAAGCATCGACATTGTAATGGGATTTGTTTGAATGAGTGGAAACTCGAAACCCTTGGTGTGTTTTTAAAATTGGTGTTACTTTGTTAAAAGAGCTGAACTGCTGAAGGGTGAAGGCGATTCGTACGGAGTATGTCGCGGTGGTTCGATGCGCCACAGACAAACTCCACGTGTCTTGACCCAATCATAGTTTGACAAAATCTGCTTTCTTTATTTATTTTTTTAATTTAATATTTTTTCTTTTCTTACATGCTTTCAAAATGACAGTCATAAAAAGACAATGGACCGAGGTGATATTTCTACTAAACTATTTTATCCACCCGCTTAATTTTAAAGTGTTATGATTTTTTTGCCCTTATTTTTCATTTACAAAAATATCAAAAGAAAAATAAAGTTCCCAACGTCGGTTTCTTGATTTCTTCCTTGGACTTCTTCCCAAACGATGAAACGTGAATCGATGTTGCTTCTTCGTTCACCGGACGCCCCGCCGCTTCTTTTCCGTTCGCCCGTCGCGGCTCCTTCTTCCAAGTCGCCGGTTGCCACTCTGAAGTATGAATCGGTCCTCCTTCTAAATCAATCCCCAGATACACCTCAATAGAATCGATACCCACCCCAAATCGATGCTCCAGCTATATGTGCTAGCCTCTATCCTAATTTCTGCTTCGCTTCTTGATGCCGATGGTGTGAATAGACTGAAGACTGGATCCTGTTGACGAGGGCTTCTCAAAGAAGACGATGGTGGTTCATAATTGTGATAATGACCTGAAGATCAGAAAAGAAGGGGTTGTAGATGGTGATTTAGTTGGTAGTTCTTTGTTGCAGGTTGAATGGTGTTGGGGTAGGGTGAAGCAAATGAAGAGGGAACAGGGAAGAAGATGATGGTGATAATGGCAAGTGGGTATCAGGGTATGTGATGGATATAACCCATATCCATGCACCCAAAACCACCATGAAATCCAAGAATACACTTGTGTCGATTTTAGGCAATGAAGTATATATTTATATATGGGATTTCTAGGCTCATGGATATAACCCAAATCCATACCCATGGGTCTTATGATCCATAGTTCATGTGGCCCAACTCTTTATGTATCCATACATAAACTTGGTCCAACATGGATCATAAGCCCAACACACATAAATATAACTAATTAACATAATTAGTCTCCATAGATTTAATTAGTCTCCTTTTGATCACTAAATCAATTCTAAATTAATTCTTGATCAATACTAATTAAAACAATATGATTTCATATTAATATATTAGTACTTATAATATATTAATAAATCATATATAACCTTCTCTCAAGAGTCCATCCTAACAAATTGTCCTGATGATATACAACCCAAATGGACCATGCTACTCTCGGGTCAAGGACATGCCAATAATAGTTATGGGCTTAAACATCTAATCCAACAATGTATGGCTAGCATATACGAGTGTTGCAGGGGTAGTGGAAGTTTCATGGATGAGTTGTGTGGGGTCAGCTGCCCAGTTTCGAGATATTTAGCCTTTCCTCTAGGGAGTGAGGACTGAGTGTATGATTATGCTAGTGAGTATTGCTAGGGTGTTGTGATGATCCTCTGAGATAAATATGGGTAGGTGTGGAAGGTAGTATGGGCCCGTACTGCTGAAAGCACAAGACCCGTACACGTAACAAGGAAGTCATAACCCCTAGGGCTTTGTTGGGAGTTGGTTCCCTGTTATGATATGCATGTTATATGATATCATCCTGGTTCATTTTCAGTATGGTGACTACGCGTCGAGTTGAGGCTGGGTCCGGTTCGGGATCAGGAGTTGGCCATCAGAGCGAGTCAGCTGCGTTGGATGACAGGATCAGGTAGATCCTGCTATAGGATGTTGTTGCTTGTTTTCGAGCTCAGTTTCCAAAGATGTTTGAGTCTATCAAGACCGCCATGATTGAGTACTTTGATGAGCGCTATGTTGCTTTGTCTAAGACTGTTGCTGCTGCAGCCGTTGCGGCTGCAGGGGTTGGATCGGGTCGGGTTTTTCAGTAACATGACTTCAACAATACGAAGCCCCCGTCTTTCGATGGGGTGCAGGACTCGATCATCTCCATGAGGTGTCTATCTGGCGTGGAGGGGTGTTTCTTCACTTGTTCTTGTCCAGCTGACCAGAAGGTAAGGTCCACTCTGAACCTTCTGAGGCCCGAAGCGAAGGATTGGTGGAGGCTTGCTACTAGTTCATATTCTGTTGAGCAGAGAGATGTTGTGTCTTCGGAGCAGTTCTCTGAGATGTTCCGCTCCCGATTTGTGCCGCTGGTGGAGCGTGAGAGGTTGGCCCTGGAGTACCTGGATTTATGGCAGGGTTCTGAGACGGTGACGGAGATCACCAAGATGTTCACAGAGAGGGCTATGTTTTGTCCTGAGTTTGCTGCATCTGAGTAGGCTCAGATGACCCGTTACTTGAGCATGATCAAGACGTAGATCAGATAGTTTGTTTCCACACAGCGCTATGGTACTTTGTTGGAGATGCAAGAGGTTTCCATGCGGCGTGAGATTGAGATTGATTTATAGACGAGGGATTAGAGTCCAGCCCCGGCACAGTCGCAGCCTGCGCCAAAGAGGTTTAAGACCGCTGATGTCACATCTAGGGGCCAGAAGTGCCGCACTTGTGGGAAGTGCGACAAGGTGCATGAGGGTGCTTGTCGATCGTCTTCTAGGTGCAACAATTGTGGCCGACAGGTCCATATGGCGAGGGATTGCCGCCAACAGGCCCCAACACTCAGTTCCAGGATTTGTTTTCATTGCGACCAGGTTGGCCATGTGAAGGCCAACTGCCCATCGCTTTCTGCTAATCCGGCGCAGGTTTCAGCGCAGGCTACTTTGAGGATCATTGATGGGAGTCAGGGCAGGGCGGAGCCCCTGAGGGCTCGAGGTCGTGCTTTCCAGCTTACTACCGAGGATGTCAGAGCAGCTCCAGATGTTGTGACTGGTATGTTTCTATCCATTATTCTGTTGATTATGTTTTATGTTATGCATATATGTGTGCCTCTATTAGGTACGTTTCTAGTGAACTCTTTGCCTACTCTAGTGTTGTTTGACTTGGGTGCGAGTCGGTCTTTTGTGTCTCGATCATTCAGTAGAGAGTTTGATATGCCCATTGGGGAGCTAGAGTGTCCTTTGCGAGTTTCTATCGCCAACGAACACAGGTTTTCTGCATCATCAATATATCATGGTTGTGTCCTAGAGATCTTCGGGGTGCCTTACCTGATTGATTTGATCCCTATCACCAGGGGGATGTTTGCGTAATTGTGGGTATGGGTTGACTGATTCGTTTCGGTGCTATGAATGATTGTGAGGGCCAGCGTGTGGTAGTTTGAACCCCAGGTGGGGGAGAACTGGTTATCTACGAAGAGGGCACCAGAATGGGTTTAGGGTTTTGTTCTGCAGCCAAAGCTCGACAGTATATTCAGCACGGGTGTGCGGGTTATCTGGCTTATGTGGTGGATACACGTGTTAGGGATTAGGTTTCAGTTTCAGAGGTCCCGGTTGTCAGGGAGTTTGCCAATGTGTTTCCGGAGGAGTTACCCGGTGTGCCTCCTGAGAGGCAGGCCAATTTTAGGATTGACCTCGTGCCAGGTGCGACCACGATTTCCAAAGCATCGTACCGCTTGGCACTACCTGAGATGTAGGAGTTGTCATCTCAGTTGCAGGAGGTGCTAGGTAAGTAGTTCATCAGGCTTAGTAGTTCTCCTTGAGGAGCGTCGATTTTGTTTGTCAAGAAGAAGGATGGTTTACACTGGATGCGTATTGATTACCGGGAGTTGAACAAGCTAACGGTGAAGAACTGTTATCCCCTTCCACAGATTGATGACCTCTTTGATCAGTTACAGGGTGCATCTTGGTTCTCCAAGATAGATCTAAGGTCCGGGTATCATCAGGTCAGAGTGAGAGAGGAGGACATGGAGAAGACCGCGTTTTGGACTCGTTATGGGCATTATGAAATCGTGGTGATGCCATTAGGGCTCACCAATGCGCCTGTGGTATTTATGGATTTGATGAATCGATTATGCAGGCCGATGCTTGATCGTTCGGTTATTGTACATATTGATGATATATTGGTATATTCTAATACCAGAGAGCAGCATGAGGATAATCTTCGTGAGCTTCTAGGAGTTTTGAGGCGAGAACGACTTTATGCTAAATTCTCGAAGTGCGAGTTTTGGTTACGAGAGGTTCAGTTCCTTGGACACCTCGTTAATCAGGATGGGATATTGGTTGATCCGGCCAAGATCAAGGTAGTGATGTAGTGGGAGGTTCCAAAATCTCCCTCGGATATCAGGAATTTCTTGGGTTTGGCAGGGTACTATCGGAGATTCATTCAGGATTTCTCCAAGATTGCAGTATCCCTCACTCCTCTGACAAGGAAGGGGGTGGATTTCCGGTGGGGCCCTGAGCAGCAATCAGCATTTGAGACCCTTTGGCAGAGATTATGTGAGGCCCCGGTTTTGACCCTCCCGTAGGGAATTGAGGATTTTGTGGTATTCTGTGATGCATTCATCACTGGTTTGGGGGCGGTCCTCATGCAAGAGAGGACGGGTGATAGCTTCTGCTTTGCAGCAGCTGAAGCCGCACGAGACGATATATCCCACACATGATCTGGAGTTGGGGGCAGTGGTTTTTGCCCTCAAGATTTGGAGGCATTATATTTATGGGGTCCGTTGTACTATATACACAGATCACAAGATTTTGAGATATATTATGGATCAACCAAACTTGAACATGAGGCAGCGCAGGTGGCTGGACGTAGTTAACGATTATGACTGCGAGATCCTTTACCATCCGGGTAAAGCGAATGCGGTGGCGGATGCTTTGAGCCGCAAGTCGGATGGGTCTTCAGATGGGGTATCGTGTATGAGGATATCAGTGGATTCTCCGCTTTTGGGATTGATTAGGGAGGCTCAGGTCGAGGGTGTTCGGGAAGAGAACTGGAAGATAGAGAGGATCAGGGGTGAGATCGCCAAATTTGTTCCGGATAGTCGTGGATTGTTGACCCATTGTGGTCGGGTATGGGTTCCTATGTCTGGTGGGGTCAGGCAGATTGTGTTGGAGGAGGCTCATAAGTCTCGTTTTTCTATCCATCTGGGGGCCACCAAGATGTATCGGGGTCTGAGATTGAGCTATTGGTGGCCGTGTATGAATAAGAAGA